ACTCATCTACCTAGCCACTTTGCACCACGTCTTATGTCCTCACTCATCTACCTAGCCACTTTGCACCACGTCTTATGTCCTATTATTATGAACATAGACATACCTGCTGGATTCCTCACCATCAACTTGAAAATCTTTATTTCGTGCCACAACTTCAACCAGTCGGGATGATATCATGGGTAAACACGTCCACACAAAAAATCATTATGAGGGATGACACTTATGCTTCTAGGGGCGTTGCCTCCTTGCCATCGAAATGTACTCTATGACCTAACCCTTTAACACGCGCAAGAGCAAGAGGATTCTTCTATAAATGTCATCTAGGTGAAGACGAAAGAAGTCTCCAAAACATAAATTTAGGGATTTTGGATTCCTGAAGAAATGGTGAGCTTCTGTGCTAGAAATTGTGTTCTTGCAAATATAGTGTTTCGTTTTGACGTCGATGTGTGGAATGAAGATGATCGTGATGACTTGCATGCCAGGAGAAGCGAGAGGAGAGTGAATATTTAGACCCGAAGAAAGTGAATTCTACTAGGGAAAAGATAACGACTGGAGAAAGACGAGAGCGACGCTTTGTCTGTTATAGATTTCGGTCAGCGACAGACGCGATGTCAACATTCTGTCATATCGGGCCAACTAGCATGACCTTGCCATGTTGAGCGATAGAATTGTCGTTCGTTGAGAATCAATTCTGTTAGAATCGACCACTTCGCTTCCGTGGCCTTCGACAAATGGTCCAGTCGCTCATCAGTTTGCATCCCGTTCATCAAACCACAAAATCGCAGGAGAAAGTATAGAAAAATAAAAAGCAAGCCCTCAAACCATTTTCCCCCCCTTCTTCTCCCGTGGCGGACCTCCGAGTAGAATAGTCACATCTTAGAATTTGTGCATCTTACACCGAATTGGCGGATCGCCTGGGGGGGTTTTTAGACGGTCCAAAAATCGGGGGCGCACAGAGTGCGTCGAAGTGTATGAATTGGTGTAACAGTATTTCAGTTTGTCGTATACATAGTGTCCTTTTTCTTCATAGAACGAAAAAAGCAAAATGCCGCCGTGCTTGTGGTACAGTGGGACTTTAAACGAGCTACGGGACTTCCTCGCAGAGCGTTTGACATCTAAACTTCCCCCTCACCCCTTCGACCACTGGATGCGGTGGAAGGCGTTTTTTGATCGGGATCCTCCCGCCGGCCTCAAACTGGGTTCGCAAGACCTGCGGAATATACTCTTATGAGCTGGATTCTAGTTTTTTGCCCATACTTGTTCTGACGTTGTTTCTTTCTTATTCGAAGTGATAGTGCACGAAAGTGCAAAAAGTAGAGCGTGATGATGGTCGCCGAAGCCGTACGTTGATCGGATTCACTTGTTTTGGGTTGTAACTCCTCTAAGAGCCCCGAATGAGAAAAAGAATTTGGCAGACAAGATCAGCCATGTACGACTGTGGATCAAGTTCCCGGGATATGGTTATGTGCTTACAATCTCAATCTCCTGGAGTGGCGCCATCCAATATTCTTGGGCCTTTCCAGTCTTTCAGAGTCACGACTCCTATCTCTATCCGGGTCTGTTTCCGTTTTAGCGATATGGCTCCACAAAGAGAATACGCGTGACTACGTGTGTCCCGCGCATTGTTTCCCACGGCTTTCATTTCAACGCGAAGAACGGGCTTTTGCCGGAGGAGGGTTCTTCAGTTCCGACGCAGATTATGGCTGACGTGGTTTTTGAGGGCCGCAGGGTTGATACGTCGTGCACTGTAAACGGGCTCCCCGCCTTTCTCTACTACGTGGATAAGGGGGTCGCCCTCGCCGGCCAAAGTCTTACTAGACAGCAGATCTGGGTGAGCAAAACTCCCAAGGTTGGCGAGGGGCGAGAAGTTGGTACTGTAGTCTTTTTTCTTCAACATGTGCGAACCAGAGCTATGTAAGATTGTTGACGGGCGAAAGCAATACCTCCATCAGAACAGAATAGTCTTTTTTCT